AAAGGTTGCTGCACAAGCCCCTGCAGCTGCCAGACCAGTGCATAACCCGTGGTCAGGGAGGCATCGCTCAGGTGATGCCACAGTTTGTGTATGCCGTGGACTGAATGTTTGTGTCCCCCTAAAATCCATGTGCTGAAGCCCTAACCCCCAGTGTGGCCATATGTGGAGTAAGGAAGTAATTGAGGCTGACTGAGGCCGTGAGGGCAGGCCCCTGGTCCAACAGGATCAGTGTCCTATGAGAAGAGACCCCAGAAAGTCTGCTCACTCTCCCTGAGCCAAGGGTGTGACGTTGTCCCCATGGGCCTGAGGACAGAGTGTGGAGCCCAGCAGGATCACCTCCAGCCTGAAGACTCCTTGTGGAGTCTGCCTTGCTAGGTTCTGGACTTGCTTGGGACCTGTCACCCCTTCCTTCTTCCCTGTTTCTCCCTTTGGAATGGGAATGTGTGTCCCGTGTCTGTCCCACCATCATATTTTGGAAGCACACAACTTGTCTGGTTTTGGTAGTTCACAGCTGCAGAGAAATTTGCCTCTGGATGAGTCTCACCTTTAGCCTCACCCATATGTGGTTTAGGTGATGTTTAGATGAGACTTTGGACTTTCGACTTGAGTGTTGATGCTGGAATGAATTAAGACTTGCAGGGCTGTTGGGGTGGGATGAATGTTTTGCATGTATGAAGGACATAAATCAGTGGGAGAGGCACAGTGTTGTGGACTGAATGTTTGTGTCTCCCCCAAATTCCTGTGTTGACACCCTAAATATTAGTGTGTCTGTACTTTGAGATGGAGCTTCTAAGGATGTAGTTAAGGTTAAATGAGGTCATGTCTTAGTCCATTTTCTGTCACTTATAACAATATCTGAAACTGAGTAATTTATAAAGAAATGAAATTTACTTCTTACAGTTTGGGAGGCTGGGAAGTCCAGGGCCCAGGGGACGCATCTGGTGAGGGTCTTCTTCTGGGTGGGGGCTCTCCTGTGCGTCACAGGGTGTCACATGGCAAGGGGCGAGAAGGTGTCCACGTGTTCTTCTCCTTGTAAAGCCTCCAGTCTGCTCCTGTGATGACCCACCAGTCCATAAATGGATCGATCCACCCACGTGGGCACAGCCCTCGTGATCCAGTTACCTCCCATCTGACTTCCCAGCCTCTTAACACTTACAATAGGGATCAAGCTCCGGTGTGAGTTTTGGGGGATGTTCAAACCATAGCAGGCCCTGATCCAACGGGATTAGTGTCCTCATTAGAAATGACACCACAAAGTCACTCTTGCTCTCTCTGCAAAAAAAGAGGAGGTCAAGCGAGCACACAGCAAGCTGGCAGCAAGAAGCTGATTCCCAAGTGTGAATCCACAGGATGGACTGTGTGCAGCAGACTTGGTCCAGGAGCCACCGCAGCCCCAGGCCAGGAGCAGACCCCATGCAAGGCAGACATATGCGCAGCAAAACAGCAGAGATGTTCCTCACTTTGCCGGTGTGCTGTGGGCTGGCCAGGGAAGGAAAGCAAATTCCATTACTCGACCTGAGAAATGAATACCTGCAGAAGAAAACGTAGTAAATCCTACTCTTCCTTCAAGGCTCGTCGCAAACTTCAGCCACAGACGAAGACTTTCTGGACCTTTCAGCCCCCAGTGCCAGAGTCCCACCCGCAGGAGACGGTGGGACCAGTGCCGGGGTCAGGGCCAGTGCACAGCCGGCTTCCCAGACCTGTGTAAGACCACAGGCCCCCGGCCTCACAGAGGGATGGGCCGGGCCAGGGCTGTCTCTTCAACCCTGTGTCTGGGGAATGCGTCCACCTGGGGAGACGAGCAACCCTGGCAGGATGGAGCTGGCAGCCCCTGGGATGGGGGCGGCTGGGTCTTCTCTTTGCTGTTTGTAGGAAAACAGTGCTCGGGGGCTGATGTTTTCCAAGCCCTGGGTCTTTTCCTGCACCACACCCAGAGCTTGGCTCTCAAGGTCACGAGGAGGCACCGGCAGTGTCAGACGACCCCCATGCGCTGGCACCTGGCCTTATCTTCAGACAGGGGCAGTGAGGACGACAGTCTGCCCTCTGGACACTCATCCACGACCATGATGTGTGATCCGGGCACCGGAGAAAGACAGTCAACCTCTTCATCTTCTCACTAGAGCTGAGAGCCAGCCCTCCAAGACTCATAGAAACTAACTGGATTCAAGCCTCTGTGGCAACAGACTTCTCTCTTTTACAGCATGAGGTGGACAGTGAATGGCAGGAGCTGCGGGCTAGATAGGGCCCCTGCAGGACACATCCAATCCTGCCACTGTAGAATCTGAGATGACCTCTTCCTGGGTCACGCCATGACCAGTGCCCTAACAAGAGACAGGAGAGATAGAGAAGACTGTGTGATGACAGGGGCAGAGACTGGAGAGATTCGGCCACAAGTCACGGGATGCCAGAGTCCCCTGAAGCTGGCAGAGGCAGGAAGGACCTGCCCCCAGAGTCTTCAGGGTAGTGCAGCCCTGCCACACCTTGATCTAGGACTTCTGGCCTCCAGACCTGTGGGAGTGTGCACCCTGATGTTTTAAGCCCCCAGTTGTGGTTGCTTTCCAGCAACCCTAGGACACACACACAGGCTGCCTCAGGGATGTGGGCTGCCCTCTCCAGACCTGTTTCCAGGATGCACAGGGATAGCCCAGCCTCAAGCAGCCTCCAGGGCTCATCTCTAAAATCCCGTGACCTGTGGCCACAGCCTGCAGGTGACGGCATCACCCGGGCATCCTGGGCCAGGTGCCAAGCCAGGGAGACCCCCAAGTATACAGCAGTCCCCAAAAAGTCAAGCCCACACTCTCTACCCCCTGCATCCAGAATTATGCCCACTCAGGGGAGCCTAAATGTTTGGCAGCACTCGTTATGGGGCTTCCACATCTCCTTACAGTGCAGTTTTAAAAAGTAGAGCGCACCGACCACAGCAGCTGCAGCAGCTACAGGGACAGGGACAGGCCCTGCCAACCCCACGCAGCCCCAGGCCTGCCGCCGCCCTTGATCTGGAAGAGTTGGGGGGAAAGGCATCGGCTGTCCTTTGTGGCAGGTTTTTTGTTTCCGGGAGGCAGGCCTGTTTTCACATGAACATGCTTTATTGCCTGCAAATGGGATGTTTTAACACTGTCTATTCATCTTTCCTATCTTTACCTATCGGAGAGCTGCCCACACCTGCAGCAATGCCTGCAGAACATCACAACGCACCTGGTGAACACGTGAAAGGCTGGCCCATCGGAAAACAGATATCCATGAGGATACACCTCAGGGATAAGCTGGTGGTTTGGTTTAGCCACATAGAGATCCGTTCAGTGCCTGCAGCTCTGGGGGAAACGTAATCATGACGGTAACGGTAAGAATGAGTAATAGGCATCATTTCTTGAGCTCTTACTGAGTGGGAGGCCCTGAGCTAATGTTACCAAAACCAAGGCAGGCTGCCTGCCCCAAAGCAGAAACAAACCACCCAAAAGTCAAATGGTGGTGAAAATGGAAGTCAGCTTTATTCAGGAACATCAGTGACCTGAGGAGAGATGTTGGGCTAACCCGTCTCTACGGTAAACCTGAAGGAGAATGACCAGACTAAAGCCATCTCAGAAACTCAAGAGGTTCAAGAGGGAGCTGAGGGAACAGAACATGGCAGGAGGGAGGGCACGTGAGCCATGGGGGCTCCTGCAAGGAGCCAGGTGCAAGGTCTCACCAAGGCTCCGTCTGGTTTCCATTCCTGTCCTTGCCGTTATCTCAGGGTCCTGCTTCAGGGAGGAATCAGCACAGATTCATTGAGTTCTTCCTTGATTTCTCAAGGACTGCAAGTCTGCAGCATCAGGCTGGCCAGAAAACAACCTTACGTTCATGTAAATAATGCCATCTTGCCACATAACCAAGGTTCATAATATCAAATAACCATGAGAAAAGAGGAAACCCAGAAAAAAACTGAGTCTTAAAATCTCCCTAAAGCCCATGGGGTTTTAGGTCCCAACATGGCTTCAGTCCTGCTCACTCTAACACTAAGCATTTAAGAAGTGTTAATGCACTTAATCCTCACAAAAACTCCACCAGATGGAAATTAAGAGGATTACCTCATGAATTAAGAAAACAGGGCTCAGAGGTTTTGGATGACTTGCCCATGCTCGTAAGTGGCAGAATTGGAACTCCAACCAGGCTGCCCTGCTGCAAGGCCTGTGATGGTCACCCCCCAAGCTGCCCCAGATGAAAAACGGCCGAGGGGCCACATCCAGGAAAAGGTACCATTTCAGCCATGGAACCTGGAGAAGCTGGAAAAGGAGGGCCACAGAGCCACGTGCTCTGGGCTGCACCAGCTTTATCACTGTACGTAAGAGGCTAAACGTAGAGATGGGGTCAGAGATGTGGAGTCAGAGGTGTGGCACAGGCCAGGCATCTGCTTGGGCACAGGCCAGGCACCTGCTCAGGCACCTGCTGGACACAGGCCACACACCTGCTCGGGCACAGGTCAGGCACCTGCTCGGGCACAGGCCAGCCTCCTGCTCGGGCACAGGCCAGGCACCTGCTCGGGCACAGGCCAGGTACCTGCTCGGGCACAGGCCAGACTCCTGCTCGGGCACAGGCCAGCCTCCTGCTCGGGCACAGGCCAGGCACCTGCTCGGGCACAGGCCAGGTACCTGCTCGGGCACAGGCCAGGCACCTGCTCGGGTACAGGCCAGTTACCCACTCAGGCACAGGCCAGGTACCTGCTCGGGCACAGGCCAGGCGACTATCAGGCACAAGCCAGCCTCCTGCTCGGTCACAGGTCAGGCTTTCTGCCAAGGGCAGCGCTGGGGGTTAATTCCTCACGATCAACATGTGACGCTGCATTCCTTCCCGAGGCTGGGCAGAGCAGGCTGGTAATGGCCATGCATGTGGTGGTGTAGGGGTGCTGTGGCAGGCACCTCCAACATCCCCATGGGGACATGGCTGGAGGGGGGAGGATGGAGACCCAGCCATGCACTTGCTGCTCGTGCCCAGCCATCAAGAGGCCTGGCGCTTGTGTCTTTCAGGAATTCGCCGACTCCATGTCCCACCTGGTCACGCAGAAGTTCCGCGAGCTGACAATCGGCCTGACGTCCATGCACGCCCGCCACAAAGCACTGGCGGGGATCGTCATGACCAAAGGTAAAGCCCCTCCTGCCTCCTGCAGGAATCTCCATCCCCAAAGGAGGGACCTTATTGTTTACCTGATCCTGGGAGCTACAGGGTCTGTCTTCCACACAAAGGCGCGGCAGAGAAAAACACAGCGGAATAGAGAGACATCAGTGATCACGGTGTGCATAGGGAAAGGCCACCCTGCCCACCTGCACAGGCTCCTCCTGATGTCTACAGGGAACATGGAAGGGGTCTGGCCCGTCTCCCCCGTTAGGCATTTCCCCACGATCATTCACAAGAAGGATTTACAAGGCTGGTGTTTGCAACCACTGGGATCCAAGGTCAGGCCAGGCCAATGCATGAGTCACCCAAGGCTGTCAGGCCAGGTCAAGTCTCCTTGACATGGACACGGGGGATACAAGAGGACATGGGGGACAAAAAGAGACAATGGGGGACACGGGAGGACACAAGAGGACACAGAGGGACACAGGAGGACATGGGGGATACAAGAGGACACAGATAGACATGGGGAACAAGGGAGATACAGGGGATACTCGGGGACACAGACGGACACAGGGGAACATGGGAGGACACAGAGAGACACAGGGGACTTGGGGATACAGGAGGACACAGATAGACATGGGGAACAAGGGAGATACAGGGGATACTCGGGGACACAGACGGACACGGGGGAACATGGGAGGACACAGAGAGACACAGGGGACTTGGGGATACAGGAGGACACAGATAGACATGGGGCACAGAGGAGACACAGGGGACACTGGTGGACACAGGGGAACACGGGGGACATGACGTGTAGGAGGCCCCCCCTGCTCTCCTGGCAACTCCCAGCTCTGGTCTCCTCGGACATGGGGCACAGAGGAGACACAGGGGACACTGGTGGACACAGGGGAACACAGGGGACATGACGTGTAGGAGGCCCCCCCTGCTCTCCTGGCAACTCCCAGCTCTGGTCTCCTCACATCCAACCCCTGCCAGGCCCTCGTGGGCTGTCCCTCTCCCACCCTCCCTCTTCCTGGCGTTGCCTTGCTTCTCTGATGCTTCCAGCCCCACCTGTGTCTCTTGGGCTCGGACCAGCTCTTTCTGGAGAATCTGGCACCTGCAGGTTCTAGTCCTCTCTGGGGATACACACCTCCCCATGAATACCCTCCTTCCTGCCCTGATTCTCCATCCCCAGCTGCTCACAGGGAGGGAGTTCCAGGCAAGAGTGACCCGCCTGGAGGGGAACGGTCCATCCTGCTGGGGAAGCAGGTGGCCTCTTCGGTTTGCCAGGCTGGGAGAAGATGACAGCTGGATCTGAGCCTCAGTGTTGTGAAAACATCTAATCACTAAACTATCGATAACAACAAACCTGCCAGCTTTTCAAATTCAACTGTTTCTACTTCCAAAGTTTGCATGAGCTCTAGTGACCTACTAGAGAATGATTATTGCACAAAATAATTGGCTTTGGTTTCCTTAAGCTTGACACACACGTCGTGCTGAGCAGTTGCAGGCAGAGTCTAAGACAGAAGTTGATCACCTCATGTCCAAAAATACTTATTTTAAAAATAAATTAAACACCAGACGACTGGCATATTTTTTTTGTCATTCTAGACCCCCGGGGGCCTCTCTGATAGTGTCAAATGCAAGAAGGAGCAGAGCCCTCAGGACCCTTCTTAAACGTGGCTCAAGGACACATGACTTACCCTATAAAGTTTCAGCTCTTAGGAAAATGGAAATAAAAATGCCATGTAATTTTGTGAATGAGATAAAGTATATGAAATGCTTTGAAAGGTAAAAATGACTTTATAAATATAACGTCCTAAGCCAAAGCGATTCCGCTGTGTCAATGACACCACTGCATGTGGGGGCACACACACGTCTGGGCCGCTGCAGAGCATCAACGGCACTTGCCTCCCGTGGAACAGGAAACAGTCTAAACTGAGGGCTGAGCTCGTCTTGGCCAGGATCACCACTGCTGGGTGTGACTGTCACCCAGCCAGCAGCTGCTCATTGATGCCCCTGGACACAGGCACTGCTCTGCGTGCACGTGCACGGGGGTGCAAAGAGAAGACACAGCACCCCCCCCGCTCAGCGCATGGTGGGGCTGCAGGCCCGGAGCACGGTTCTGGCACCAAATCCCTTAGGTTTGAAGGCCAGCTCCACCAGCAGCTAGCTGTGTGAGCCTGGGTGGCCACTTAGTCTCTCTGGGACTCAGTTTCTTCACCTCTAAAATGGGGATAACAGTAACACCTACCTAGCAGGGTTTAGAAGGTGAAATGTGTTCATGGATATAAAGCACTTGGAAAGATACCTCGCCTATAATAAATACCACGTGAGTGGTAGTTACTGTTGGTGATGGGCTCTTTTATTCACAAGTTATTTGCTGAATGCCTGCCTTGCTGGGCTCTGGGGAAACAGCAGAGAACAAAATAGACCAAGCGCCTACCCTCGTGAGTCTTATACTCTAGTATGGAATGGGTCATGAAGTACCATTTAGATCCAATATAAACAGAACTGTAAAAAAGCTATTACACAGAGCCGTACAACCACACAAATGAAAGTTTGGTAAATTAAAAAATTGGGGCATCACATAGATTTCTGCCACAGATTCCAGGATAACTCAGTTTAAATTAGCATTTGGTCTGCAAAGGAAAGACCAGGACAGGACACAGACGCCAGCCACTGCGGCCCATTCTCCTGCAGCACGCTTCCAACCCCAGCGGCGCACATCACTGCGGTGTGGGAAGCAGTTTCCCACCCCTTCCCTACTCCACGCTGTGTCTGGCCAACATCTTTCCACTTTCCTGGGAAACTCAACTCCAGCAAGTTTTGGAAGCTGCTCTCAGGCTTCACCTGGAAAATAGAAACATCCTGCAAGGGCTTGTGGGAAGATGAAACTCCGGGTTGGCAGGGAATGCGCTGTTTTACGTGCAGGCCACTTACTTACATGGACCATATTTATGAAGCAAATGTACAATTTCAGGTGACACTTCCCTCATTAGTGATTTATAAACGATGAGGAATAAATTGCTGAAATGTACTTTCCTGTTACAAGAGGAAAATTTAATACACATATTGATTAAAAACAGATTAGGAAGAAATGCGCAAAGTTACTAATAGAAATATTTTTAAATATGCATTTACTTCAAGTTGATGTGCCATTTAGTCTTCATTCTAGCTCAGTCATTCAAGCGAGTGCCTAAGAGACTCTGAGGGAGTGATGCGTCCTATTCCAATTGCTGTATGTGTCACACTGTTATAAAACTAAATTATTTTGAAATAAAACATGATTCAGTCTGTCCCTCCATTTGAAGGGGGGCCAACTTGTTCACATCAATTAGCTTCCCACTTATGAAGGGGAAACCATGTTTCAGCCATTGTGAGAAATATGATCACAAAAGATCAGAATAGTTTTACTTCTATCTGGTTAGTGTGGTCACATGGTAAAAATGCAAAGAGAGCTCGAGAGTGACAAGCAGCGTTCTCCCACCCACCTCCTCACGCCTCCTCTCAGGTTATTTCCAATTTTGTTCCCGTGACCCTGCATACGTATTGGCTCCACATTTCTAGATTTCCAACTCTAGGTAACATCTATCGACTCTGCTATTAAAATTTGATACTTTTTCATTTCCCACTGCTGTATTTGTAATATTTGTAAATTTAGATAATGTGCTTAAACCTTTATTTCTTATTCTGTCCGGTTTAGATGGTGCAGCTTCACTTCCTGTCCTGTAAACTGAGGACAGGTAGCCTCAGCTTTTCCCTTCCCAGCCAACTTCCCTCGACTATTAATTTATTTTTACATATTATCATCACTGAGAATATTTACATTCTATTCTATACCCTTAATTAAGTCTTCAATATTTTGCTTTCTGGGTGGTTCTAAGAGCTGAAGGCCACCAAACCACACTTGCAGGGTCAGACGTTGTGAACGTCCTCATGGCAGAGCCAGGCGGTGAGCAGGAATCTCGTTCAACCCTCCGTCAACACAACTCCCCCTGAGAGAGAACGTGCCTGGTGTCCAGGTCACGTAGATCCTCACTGATTCCGTCACCAGCTCAGCATGACGTCACACATAAGTTTAATGCACGTTTGTATCTAAATGTCCTTACATAGCCTTTGAAATATTGTGCATGTTTTCTTCTGGGACACCTCATTTTCTTTTTCTCACTGAAAAGAAAAAGGACATGGCTCTAACACACTTGCTAGGTGTGTAGACCCTCAGTCGTGGTATGCACAGAAGGGGCCACCTCCTTCCCGAGAAGCCCCCCGGGAGCCCGCCCCAGGACCCACCTGGCCTCACTCTGCAGGCCCCACAGGTGCGCCCTTCCAGTCCAGACCCACCGGCTGCAGGACCCCTGTCTTCTTTCCTTCCTTCCTCCTGCCATGCGGCACATCCTCAAGGACCATTAAGACACACGTGGAGATAAACCTTGCGAACACGCATGCATCTCTGATTGCCGTGATTCGGCTCTCACACGACCTTCATCATCCCGCCAGGTGGGGATTCCAAGCTCACCACGGTCCTCCCTCAGAACTTTGAAGGGTTTTCCATTACCTCATGTCCTGTAGGTCTGACGAGAAACATCATGTCCGACCGATGTTTTCCTTGAAGCGACCAGCACCCACCCCTGCCCGGGAGGGAAAAGGGTCTTTTTTTAACTTGGACATTTCATAATTTCGTAAGAATATGTTTTGGTGTGAGCCATTCCCTTCCCGGATGCATTTAAGCTGTGTACTCATGTATTTTTCCTTGTATCTTTCCTTTGACAAATTCATTTCTTTGTACATATTTTTGTTGAATTTTCAACATTCTGAATGAATCCTCTGTGTTTTACCTTTTCTTTTTTATTTTTAGTCTCTCTACCCTTTTACTCTGTGTTTTTGGAAGTTTCTTAAATTTATCACCCAGTTCTTCAACTGCCTTTTTCCCCCCTGATTCTGCAATCCATTTTTATAATTCAGGGCTCTCCCTTGTCCTCAGTTTCTTCCTTTTTCAAGGACTGCTCTTCTTCATTTCTCTGAGG